TGAGGCTAATTCATTAGAAAAATTTTTAGTGGTATAAAAATATTAACTTTACAAGGTATTTACAATCTGTTTTTTTCTTATCACCTACTGAATTGTCAATCGGCGACCCCCTGTTTTATGAAAACATAAGTTACTTATGTTCGATACTAAAAGCAAAGTATTTAGCATCTAGCATTCGATAATCAGCGTGTCCTGTGCAGTCGAGATCTTTTTGCAGTTATCGATGCTATCGTTCCGAAAAAGTCGAATGCATAATTTATTAATGAACGAAATGGTATGATTGTAAAGTTAAGCAATCAAAAGTCTGAAATTGTTTTGAATTTTAAAAGAATTCCATGGGGAATATTTGTTGCAAAAGAAGTTTTTTTCCTTAGCTCCCCATTTTTCACTTACAATTCTTTTTCTAGATTATGTGACGTTTTAGAAGAACTGTTATCAACAAGTTTCAATAGAGCGTGGTGATGGATGTATACGTATATAAACAGAAGACCTTTGCTTGACTCATAGGCCTTCATGTTTACTCTCATTTATCTACATTTAGAATATATACACCCACAGACTGTCTCAATCTAAACATTAAGATAATTATTTTATTGACGTAGAAATTTGTCTTGATTAGAAGGTAAAGAAATCGTGTCAATCGAAATGAAATAATTATATGTTAAACAATTTATATTTATGAGATATGCTAAGCTTTTGCCAAGAGCATTTTGAACACATTTGACAATCTGATTGAAAAGAACATATTAATAATCCGTGTTAGCGATGATTCATCCTCATTCTTACCCCTTGATGTCTTTCTATATCTCTCTCCCTCTTTCTTCTTCATTATTGTTATTGGTTTTTCTTTTCTTCTCTATTATGCTGTGCAATATATATATATGTACGCTGATCTAAGGACATTTCGAATATAATAAAATAAACAAAGTTAAAGCTCGTCGAAGCGAGCTAACAATCTGATATTAAACGACAACATAAGTATGAATCATGAGATAATGAGGATTATTCAAGCAGTCAGATAAAATAACAATAATAAATGAGTAAAATTTGCTAACAATTGCTTATTGAAATAGATAAAAAAAAAGAGTTAAATAAAGAAATGAACCATGAATAATCTTTTCATATAGTATTAGTAATGATGATGTCGAACAAAAGTAACAAAAACAATCATTTCTTGCTTTTTAGCGGTACATGTGCTCATTTGTAACTGTTGATATCCAAAATTTTTCCTCTCAAAAAGTGGAAATTTTTAAGAAACATTCAAAAACAAAAAGTATTGTACAACGGATTGTCTATCAGAAGTCTTGAGCCGATGCGCTTGTCTTCAGCAGACAGGTTCAAAAGTCTTTTTTCAATATTTGATATACAAAATGGAAATTAATTCATCATTTGAAAATTCTAATGTTCAATAGTTGATTATCTATAAGTTATAAAACATATACATTAGTTTATCTTCTTTGATTTATAAAGAAAAAACAATCCTGAGTCAACTCGAAGATGTGTTTAACATATTTTTAAAAGAACTGAACTTGTTAGGAATCTGCATGTCATTTAACATAAAGAAATACTATAATGCATGATTAACAACTTAGTTTTATAAAAAAAAAAAAAAAAA